AAAAAAAAAATCTATATATATAAATTAATTTATATAAAATATTTTGTCTAAATATTTTTGTATTTATATAAAAAAATAGAAATAAATATATTTCCATGTAAATAATATTTTGTATAAAAATATGTTTATATAAATATTTATATATCTAAAATTTATGTGTAAAAGTTTCTCTGTGTAAAAGAGTGTTGTGTATAAAGGTATGTTGTGTATAAAGTTTTCCGTTAGTAAAGGTTGTTCTGTGTAAAAATATCGGTGTATAAAAGTGTTTGTATATAAAAATTGTTGCGTAAAAAAGTATCTGGACGTAAAATTTCCTACGTGGAAAAGTATTTCTGTGTTAGTTTCGGTGCGTAGTTTTTTTTGTGTATCTATGTGTGTAATTTTTTCTGTATTAAAGCCTTTGTATAAAAAAAAAAGTATAGAACCTGTTCTGTACAAAGGTTTCTTTGTATAAAAGGTTGTATGTGTAAATACTCTGTGTAAATCCGTCTGTGTGTAAAGGAGTGCGTGCGCGCAAAGTATCTTTACGCAAAATATCGGTATGTAAAAATTTCTGTCTAAAAAATTCTTTGCATAAAAGCCTCTGTGCGTAAAGACGTCTGTGTGTAAAGTTTCTCTGTGCACAAACCTCCCTGCGTAAGAGTATCTGTGCATAAAAGCTGCTCTGTGTAAAGGCTTTTGTGCGTAACGTCGTCTGTTTGTAGAAATGTATCAGAGTAAAATGCGTCACCACAATAACATCTCAAAAAAAAAGAAAAGAAAAGAATCCAAGCTGAAATGCTTGCTGTCGTTACTGTTGTTGATGATGGAGGTGATGCGCGCGGGCCTTCGGGACGAAAAAAAAATTGGTGTCCGTTCTTAGTGGCAAAATACCACGGTATTTACAATGTTTTTGGACAGCACCTACAGCAAAAACACTGGTATTTATGCAGTTTTCAGCATGTTGCAAGAAGCCATTTTTCCATGCAAAAGTCACAAAACCCTGTACATTACACTTGAAATTGCTTCGACATGGCTTCCAAATACTGAAGCGCACAGTAGCCTGAACTATATATCAAGGTCTGAGCTTACAAGCTAGACGGCAAGACAAGAGTACACTGCATTGATCGATATTTGCTTTTCGCACGCTTCTAAAAAGGCAAAACCAACGCATTACAAGTCCAGAAGCCGAACCGAACCGAACCGAACATTGCAAGGAAATGCATGAACCGAAACTCCCCATGAACCGAACCGGCCCTATAGAAGATATTTAAAAACGAAACCAAACCGAAACATAGCCGAAACCACACTGATATAATTCATTATATAATTGAATTTCAGCATATTCCAGCTACATTTTCCATCCTTATAGCTGGTGACACATCTCAGATGAATATCAACTACCCTGCGCAATTGCTCGATGTCTGTTGTATCAAACAAACAGGAGGCAGAATATATTCTCTAGTGAAATTTCTTAGGATTCAGATCGGTTGCGCATCGGAAGTGGGTTTCCATTCAAGATCTGGTCAGATTGTCCCAGCCAGGTTCAATCCGTCCCTGAATATGAACAACAACGCTTGCAACTCTGAGAAAAAAGACAACAAGCATCCAACAGCTTGCGAATTGTAAGTCAATCATAGAACGCACAAAAGTATTGTCAAGCAATGGGACAGATGCAACATCCGCAGTTTCAATTTGAAGGAGTTCGGCTAGGCGAAAAAAAAAACAGTGTGCTTGTTTCTCCTGACATTCGAGAAGTGTCTGGCTGTTCTTTCCATATCAAAGTTCAACTAAACTCCCTGAAAGAAACCACCACTATAACAAGCTACAAGCGGAATAAAATTGCCAGTTACAAGATATGCAGCTAGTGGAAAAATCCCCCGCGCAAAAACAAGAAAGGCTCCAAGCACTGCCCCTGGTGAAGTGGCCCAGTGTTCAATTTCCACTGCAGCCGACACGCGCGGATCATCGCCAGGCATCATGTGGGATGTGTAAAGAAGAACGGCGCCAGTCTTCAACTGAACATACCTAATATTCCTCTCGATCCTCACGGATTTGTACAAACGATTAGCTAAAAGTGCTGGAACCGGTAGCCTTGCATGGGTTGACATGAAGCTTGAATGTCGTATCTAGCTCACACCCGAATTCACACTTGCAGTTGCATGCTGGCATCCCAAGGGCACCATGAAGAAAAGGATTTTGGATATTTTGGATATTTTGGATAATACTGGATTTTCCAAAAATTTTCCAACGCCATTCTGCAATCATCTGCAATCACCTGCAAGCTGGGTCCATGTTCATCCCTGCACTGATGCACATCGCCGGAACGACGCCACTCAGCTTGCGCCTAACAGGGCACGGGCATCGCCTGATTCCCTGGACTCGAACTTACATATCAGCTCTTTCTCTCAACTAATACCAGGGAGATGGATGGAGATGGTGTATCTTGAAATTTCTTGAAATTTCTTGAAATGTCTTGAAATTTCTTGAAATTTCTTGAAATTCTCCAATGGTTTGTTTGGACTCCAGGAGTGTGAACGTGTGAACGCCTTGAAGGTGAAGATTTCAGTGCTACCGGTGCTACCTGCCTGGTGGCTCGCCTTCGGCCGCAGGAACTGTCGCACCTGGAAAGAGATGAGAAGGGCTTGTGCTGCTCGTGAATGAAATCATGGAGCCTTTCCCCAGAGCCCTCTGAAAAATAATTGTAAAAATAACCATCATAATATATCATAATATCATATTTTGAATTTTGAATTGTGTTCGCCTTCGAAACCATCTCCCGAGAATTCAAATGCAACACATGGTGCCTCCTGCCCCTGAGATATGGTGATGAATGCCCGTCCATCTTGTGTTCCCGCACTTCGGAAAGGATATTGTGGGTCAAACCAAATATCACAAGATTCAACATTTGCATGGTCTCCAGATGTCTCCAGTATGATCTCCTCAACACACCCGACCCAAACCTCCCATGGATTTGTTGCACCTGCATCGGTCATAGCTACCTCCACCTCCACAGGCACGGTCTCCTCCACCACTGGAGGCAGCGTCTCCTCTTCCGCAGCTGCAACCTCCGCAGACTCGGTGGAAGCCGCAGGTGTCTCTTCGAGGCGTGGCTTCTTGGCCGCAGGCCTTGCTGCGACATGTGTGGATCATCCATGGATCATTGTTGATTTGAAAGAAACTACCCTTGTCCAAACAACAAGTGGCTGGAGCCCTCTCATATATCGTATACCATACCAGAACAATACCAGAACAAATCTCTCCTGGACTACTGTATTGCCGAACTAATTCTCTGTTCCAGGATTCAAAGTACGCTCATTGCACAAGCTTGCTATGATGCTACTGTTTTTTGGAGCGCTTGAGGGTGAAAATCCGTTACAACTTGCTAGGCTGACAGTACTCGTACATTGGACACCTTCGGTCGCCTCAACTCATGCAGAGAAAGTTTCAGATCTGTTGCTCAGTCACAAACTGGAGGGAATCCCACTGTGCTGAAATTCTGCACTCTGAACCATGGACATGTGTCAAGGATTTAGAACCCATAACGCATAATCCAGACCACCCTAAACCACACGAGATCTGGGAAGTAGTCAAACCATTGTATGTCTATATATATATATGTGTATATATATATATGTATATATATATATGTATAATTATGTATATTTCCTGTATCTTAGTGTCGCCGCAGTTGCTCCGAAAGCTCAAGCTGCCCTGGATAAGGACCAGACTCTGAGCTTACAGGTCCAGCCTCAAAACCACAGGTCGCGACTGATGGACCAAGACATCGGGGACTACAGTAACAGCAATGCAAAGACTTCCGAAGATATGATAGATAGACATTCGGAAAAATTATATGAATATTGACATATTGATTCATATTGATTCTATGAATATGATATGATAGGAAAAACTCCTAGACATATTCATAGAATCAATATGAATCAATATTGCAAATATGAATGATGAGATGATCCCTTCTTTCAATGGTGTCCTAGTGGTGAGACTGTGTGTGAGTCAATCCGCACGAGCCAAAAAAATATGAATCTGGCCCAGCAGATGGCATATCAATGAGTCGATAGGATGCATTTCCGGCAAGTGCCTGGATGGCTGATGCTAAGGACCACACTGGCTGGGCCTGGGACGCAGCATTAGATGGCAGCGGACAGTGCTGGAAAAAGACCAGGTCTGCAAGCTTGGTCGGGGATGATGAAAACTGCCACGCTTCGAAGGTGCTAACACCAATGACCAACATCCTCGACTCTGGAATCTTGGAAGTGGAGTGGATAGAATTGAACAAGTAATCGCCATTTTCGTCAACTGCGTGGATGTTGTTCTCCAGATCGTCAAGACCTGTTCTAGGACGTGACGTGCCAATATGCCGACGATGTTATCTACATGGATGCAAACCTGTCATGGATCTGCATGTCAAAGAGAAGTTGAGGCGGCTTTGCACTTTGGACTGATTCAGAGAACGGGATCAAAGACTTTGGTTGGTGGCGGGGCTGAGATATATGATATACCATATTTATTTATTTATATATATATGATTATATATGTACATACCATAATTCTCAAAAACATCAAGCGGCAGAAAGCAGTTCAAGAGGCGCCTTTTTCAATTTTATGTGCCCAACTTGGAGAGTTTTCTGGTATCATATTGAGAGGATCCATGCCTTCACCTGAGACTTGGGGCTCCATGCATTGAGCACTTGTGGTTTGCCGTCCTCTGTCATGCCCAGCTCGAAATAGATGACCTTCCAGCCGCCAAGGTTTCGAGTGTCACCCTGCATGGACTGAACTAGCTGCTTAGCCATCTTGGCCCAAAGTTGCGGATGCATCGCAATCCCAAACAGACCACGAAAGCCGTAACTGCCACTTCATTCTTTTTGATCAATCATGCTGAACAACAAAGAATGGTGAAAATTAGCACTTTACATCGTTTACATGCTATCTGAGCTGCATTGATGGGAAAGTGGAAGAGATTATTCCGTTGGGGAGCGATCCAGTGAGTGGATACCTTGCCATGACTCCAAAGTTCATTGGATGTTGGAATCAAAACCATGGGTCCCCAAAGGTACCCAAAGCATCGCTTTCTGTGCAAATCTCTGTGAGAAATTAATCCACAACACTCCACGCAGCGACACGCTGTCTGCACCTCTCCCACTGCCTGCACGCCCGCGTATGGAGTATGGAAGGTCCGTGGTGCGTCTTTTCAAGTCCCAGAGATCAGGTCTCACAACTTCGGGCGAGGAAATTCACAGTGACTGTCAATTGAGCTGGGTGCAACATGGTGCAACTGTGATCTTAAAGATTTTGAGCCAAATGGAAAGGAACGGCAACAGCCCCTTGCACAGCTGCTTACCTGCAGAAGCACCTGCCTTGTTGGGTACATTGACCAGCTCGCGATTGTGCGCGAAGACGTCAGCGCCAAATCTGGCAATGAAGGTCCAATGCTCAAATGCTAGAACTCGTCACACATTCACAACCCATATTCTGTTTCTCCAATCTTTCCAGTGAATTAGTAGTCCAGTCTGGTACCATACAGTACCCACTGTACCCAGATGTACCCAGCATAGCCAGATATCGCAAGGCCGAGTCTTATGCCCATCCACGATGCAGTGCCTGGCACGAAGCTCTTCACATCCGACGAAGCCCCAACCTCTGTGCCATGCAGCATCCAACCGCCCGTCAAGGTGCACATAGGTTTCATGTGGTTTCATCACCGTTCCGCAAATGGATGGGCTGGCATCTTCAAACAGAAAAATGCTTGAAATATCATGAAATACTGTATCAGAAATATCATAAAATATCAAGAAAATGCTTGATTGGCAAATGTTTCTGTGGGCTGAGACATCCATACACGTGGTGAACTACCTGAAGCGGTTTCCATTGACGGACTTGCCCTTAGAACCGGGCATCATTTTAACCCCCTCACCTTCTGATGGTGAAAAACATGGCTGGCATTTTCTATCACATTCTTACCGTATCTCCTCCTGGATCCATTTTGAACCATAGTGGCAGTCCGTGCGATCCGTTCCAAATCCGCCCAGCAGCCATTGGCTTCGTTGAAAGTTTTGAACTCCGCAGTGAAGAACTCTCCGGTGGGCTCCGGCCTCGGAGAATGGGAATCCATTTGGAATCCGTGAATCCTCAAGTTTGGAGGAAACCTTGGCCATGGATTGTAGCATGGATGCCATATGATGCCATAGTGGATTCAAATGTCTCAAGAGTCTCGGAGAGTCTTGTGGTGTGAATGTGAAGAATCCCGAGTTTGGAGATGGTTTCTATTTGTTTCTCCGTGGCCCCTTTTTTGCATCCAGGTGACACAGCGCTCCGTCGCGAACCCGGGACATGAACTCCTGCGATTGCGCCTCAGCACTCACCGTCAGACGGAGAACGCAGGTCATGTGATTTTGTGCGAAGTGAATCCAAGTGAACTAGTGAATCCATGGAAAGCCAAACGTGAATAGGCGAACAGGACGGTTTGGCTTGATAACCCACATACAGTCCAAATACTGCATCTTGCACTCTTTGAGATTTGAAGATAGTCATCTTGTGCGCGGATAGTGAAATTAATATCACTTTGGAAGAGCCCAATCTATCGATATTTCAATCTTTCAACACAATTTTACTAGTGACCTGATCCAATTATGAACTCGTCTTCTGACTGTGCTCATGGGGGAGCATGGTCATCTCGAGCGCGTACAGACTTTGCAGAAATTTGTCAGAAGTTGGATGTGCTGTCAATTCCATTGCGTTATACTCTCTAGTGATTTTAGTGACCATCAATGACTCAACCTCAGGTGGTCTCCAGAAGTCTCCAGTCCCAGAAAGCTCCTACTCAAGACCGACACAAAAGGTATGAGAAAATGACTCAACGATGCGGGACCCATTCACCCAAGGCGGTCGTTTTCCGATACACTCGGCAATGGTCCAACCTTATCTGCAGCAGCTGTATGCATTTCCGAGTACGGGGTCCTCGCACCAACCATGAAGCCGCCAAAGGGCAGAGAATATTCAAACTGAAAAAACGCGGCGCAGGTTGGAGTAAGCATCCCATCTTAAAAGCGCACGGCACGACCTGGTCGAGTTAGCCGTCATTACCATCAAGCGAAGGGAGTGAAAGCTCTCCGAGCGAAGTCCCTAAGGATGCATTTTTGGATGTGGGCCATTTTCAGATTTAGGCAACTAATCTTCTGATGCCCACTTGATCTGTCCACAATCTTAAACAATACCTTGACATCTGAAGCTTGTAGCCCACTCGGGCAGTGCAGGAAGCAATTCCTGTGCACCACCATACCTAGTGCCTCAAGTTTAGAAAGTGATCACTGCGATCTTGTGAGTCGTGTGTCATGATGTCATGATGTCCGCTGGAGGCTCTCACATGTCCGACAGGACAGGGAGGCAGCAAATCCAACTTGAAATCCTTACGAGTGGACTTGTGCATCTTGTGCGAAACTGAGCTCCACAGCACCGAGACCTGACGTGACCCATAGGATTATTGGCAGAGGATGTACAGCTCCCAGCAAATGTGAGGAGCTGGTGGAAATTCTACGACTCACTTTCAGATACACTTCAAGGATGAAATCGATAGTGCTTGAAGAGTGTTAAAGCTCAGTTCACTTATAATCAGCTGTATAACAGACCCTCTTTTGGTTGTAAAGAATTTCGGTTTGGAATCTCCGTGCAGTGGCCCACATGGGCAGCATCTTGCGGGGCTATACCGGGGCATGACTGCTGGGCCACGGCTGCACAGCCACAGCAACCAAGGGGTGTTGCGCTAGAGGTAGCCGAGTCTTATAGCTGGTTCAACAGAACATTCTTCAAGTTGAGAATTATTAAGGATCTCGTTCCCCAGAAAAAGAAAATCAAGGGTAAGTCGCATTGGATCTATCGGATCTATCGGATCTATCGGTTTTGGACCCACTGTCTGATCTGCTGGTTTGCATACAATGGACTGAAAATGGAAAGGATGATCTTCTTCAAGTCTACAGGGAAGATCCCACTCCAGGATGCTCTCACGGTGAACATGGCACTGCTAATGTGTGCTGGCTACTCAGTATCCATACGTACAGCTCTCATGTTTCAAGGCTCAGCTGCCCCTTCTGGGTATGTCTTCCCTCCTCAGTGATACAGATTTCAGCCGATTGCCTGAATCTAAGATGAGCAAACTCATGTGACATGTGATGAGGTGTATTTCAATTTGTTAGGATGGAACTTTGCAACTCTTCAAAACCGCTATGGTAATCTGAGTTGCCCTCCACAGTTGTTTCCTTGATGTCTCGGTTTTCAGACATACCCAGCGCTTGTGATGCAACACGGCGACCGTGTGCACAAATCTTTGAACAGGGACAATGGACAGAACCGAACAGCTATCACTGCTATCACTTCGAAAGATTCAGACAATAGTGGACTTTAGTGGACCCCTTTCCTTTCGTTTCATAATGTTTCATATCAGCTGTGTTTGGCAACTCAATAACTGCCATGCTGCCATCACTGACCCTCTTTGAGTGCTATTCATCTTTTAACACAGGGCACGGACAAACCAACAAATGTGGTGCAAGAATTCCTTGGTCCTGCCACTGAGACACGCTTTGCTATTCCACAGTGAGCGCTCGCCCAGCAACTGTCCAATAGCCCAAGTGTTTGGCGTCCGCAAATGCGCCGATTAGACGAGGCATCCGGCGGAGCAGCAAGATCTTGTTCGGGGTGATTCGCCTTTACAGTTTACATATCATTGAGTTCCGTAGGAAAAGCTTGATCGGATTATATGATATGTATAATATATATATATATACAGAGAGAGAGAGAGAAAGAGGTAAAAGCACAAACTTTTGTTACTGCAGGTGGAAAGCTGTTTGTACAACTTGATTCTGTTGATATGTCCTGCAGGATGGGCGAGACATCACTTTTGCATGGTTTTGCCATGTTTTGCAATATCCGGTTCTGGTTCCCTCCTATACTCAAACACCATCTGTCAACTTCAAGCAAGAGTGGAACAGTAGATCAAACACCAGCCGGCAGGCTCCCTCGCATCTCACCCTTTCAAACCCCTCAGCTCTCTTCGCCCTGTCAAGGCTGGAAGACGGCTGCACCAATCGAACACCTCATCTAATTACATGCACAACGACCTGCCCTGAATTGCTCGCTTGACAGCGAGCTGCCCCCAGTTGGATTTGGCACAGTAGGATTAGTCACTAGTTGGCGACATGAAGGACTTTTGTCGGATAGGACCTTGAACGGTGTGAAAGAGTCCTAAACCAACCACATCGGTCGATGCAGTGTGCTGGCCCAGGGAACAAAAACAAACAAGGTTGTTTGACCTCAAGGCTGTGAAGTCCTGGATGCAATGGTAAATCCATGAGGTGTGAAAGCCCAAAGCATCATCAAGCATCGCATTTTTTCCGATTTTTCTACAGTAATGAGATTGGTGAATTGTTGCGTCACTACGGCCTTACCCATGGCCAAACATCCACAGGAGCATGGCAATCAGGTCAACACCGTTGCCGGTCGCTCAGCCACGGTTAGACCTGTCGCACTGCAGCTGGGCCGGTGATCCCAACCAAATATAACCAAATGAGGTTGCGGATTGGATAAAAACGACTTGGATAAAAATGAGGTGACTTGCCCCTCCATTCCCAAGAACTACCTCTTCGTGTTCGTCTTTGGGGAGAGTGCAAATGCATGCTTGGAAGCTCGAAGGGTATTTGAAGGGGTTGCCACGGATGGTAAGGACTATAGGTAAGTGATATTTAATTTTGCATCACACTTTCCTGAGGAGACGGCCCACTGAGAAATTGTCCTTTTCTGGTCATAGGGCCATATGGGAGGATCTTGGGAATCTTCCAGGCATTGCAAGGAAGTGATCCGACACCCGGACCTCTGCCAGGCGCCCTCAATCGTCACGACAGTGTTTGAAGCCCCATCGGCGAGAGAAGCGACAGGCAGCCTTTTGACCTGGCTCTCAACTTCAGCCATGAAGAAATCTGTATCATCCTGTGCTACCTTTACTAAAATTTACAGCCGGTTCAATAGTGGTCAAAGTGAATGTAGCCTTCTCAAGCATGTAAGGATAGTATGCCGATCTGTGACAGTCTTTTGAGTACCCACGAAAATCATGTTCAAAATCAGAAGTCTCACAATTGATACTAGGCCTCGTGTTCCAATTCCTTTTTCGTCTGGGCTGGCTGCTCAACACCCAGAAAAAGGCGAGGGAGCAGCGGCTGTGCGTTGGGAGCAAATGAACTATCCACAAAGAGATTCTAATGCAAAGCTGGATCAAAACTGAACCAATGCACCCAGCGCGGCTCCCACGTAACTTGTCTGATTTTAGCTGCATTCCAAGCACAATTTATGTGCAAGGAGTGCCGCTCTCTCACACAAAGTGCGGCTTTCTCAATGCTTCTACAGTCGCCATTCGGCTTCAAGTCTGATCTTGGGGTTTTGCTTCTCCCCGGGCCACATCTCTACCTATGAAGATCCATGAAGATCCGACATTGTCGACATGTTCCAAAATAAAGGGTACAGTACGCCAGCTTCCCAAACAAATTATTTTACTAGGTCACGAAGTGTCACGAAAATTCACTGCAGGCTGTCCGGTTTTTCAGCCCAGTTTTGGGACTCAACAGCACCAGCGTGTTCGTGTGAGTGAGTGTGTGTATGCGTGTGCGCGTTGGTTCCAAAAAAAATTGAATTATCTCGCATAGAAACTCAAGACAAACATGGTCTGGTATATATATATATATATCAATTCCATTCAATTCCAGTTTTGATCGGCCTTACAGTATGTTGGGTCCTTCCAACCGCATCAAGAAGCAGTGCATTGAGAAATCCAGTGGGCTGCAAATCTGACGGTGCTACCGTCTTCGGTACAGTAATTCTCGCCAGAAGGCAGGTTTCCGAGAGAACAATTCCTCGCCATAGCACAACCAGCCTTTTTGGATACCTTTCAACCCAGGATGACCAGGAAATTGGTGTGCATTGAAATGATTAAGTGATGTTTCGGGCAGCCATGGCTTCTTGATGTCCTCCCTAAAACCCACCAGGGTGCAGCTAACACTCTTCAACTACAGATCTGCTGTTTCTTCCAGGAGGTTTTTGAACTCTGATGTTCTTCTCCCGTTTGTCAACGGTCTTCAATTCACCGTCAGATCCAAACCTTGGCTGAATGGAGTTGCGCTCAGATGGGCTCCCGTGAAATGGGCTTCTAGGTACCCCTATTCGCCCACCAAACATAGCTTTCGAATTCAGCAAATAAGTAGCGCAAGAAACCCAAGAAAGAGTGCTGAAACTCTTAAGATTTGGGTCTTTGTTTTGACATAAGTGAGTACCACACAGAGCGTTCAAATTGGCACTTGGCTTGAACCCTCGTTCAATTATTTTTTGGCAATGGTTACCTAGATGCCATGTCAAGGTTCATAATGCCAAGCCGGATAAAACCAAGCAACATCCACTGCTTCACGGGCACTCCAATCCAACCTGGCACAACGGAGGGGTGAAAACACGCGGGTATCCATGACAGCGAAGCCAATACAGCTCCTGGAATTTCTCATGGACTACCGACTGGCACTTGCAATATGTGCATGCATATGTATTTATATATATATACATACATATGTATTATGTATATATACACACATATGTATGTGTATATATATAATACATATGTATGTATGTATGTATGTATATATATATAATACATATGTATGTATATATATATAATACATATGTGCGTAAATAAATAAATGTACATATATAATATTCATATACAATTAATTAGTCTATTTATCTATATATAATTTATATACACATACAAAAACAGCCTAACCCAATAACCAAAATATAAACAAACGCAAGCAGCCTAATCACCATTGGCCCACTATTCCACAGCATGGCCCACTCACCACGCAACCAACCCGCGAGGGCCGGCCTTGCCCCTGGTTGCGATGGATTTCTCCCTTTGAGCGGCGTTCATTGAAAATGGCAGAGTTTTTTGCCTCGAAGCTGTCTGAGAGTGAAACACCCTTGCCCCAAAGGTCATGCTAAGTTCACTCTTACATCCAAAGGCCACGACAGAGAAATAGCACTGACACACTGATTGATCGGATACTAATGTGAATGCGCGAGAAATACTGTAGTTCATCAGCTCAAATTCGCCAAATGCTTTGGTGGAGTCGCATTCGGAACAAAAAAGAAACATCTGTGGCTCGCCAAGCATCGTTCATTTGACTCCATTTTTGGATCCCATCTTGCAAAACGCAGTTTTCTATCTTCTGCTCCTGCAATGGAACGAGGCTGAAATTTGCCAGTTGCAGAAATGTCTTGTGTGAAAAAGCAGTAACACATGCCAACACACGCCAACAGGCAATCTGTGGTGTCAGGCAACCAAGCTGACTGCAGGACCTGACTATTCAGGATTGCTTGAGAAAGTGAAGGCTCCTTCCTCAGTTTCCAGTTGCCAGTGGCACATGGCATGCGCTTGCAAAAGGTCATCTGAATAGCTCTTGGCCCGTTTTCTTTATACTGCAGATCTGAGGGAAAAGATGGCTACATGCGATCTTCGAGATCAACAAACACGTGGAACATCATTCAGTACCCGAACAGATTGGAGGTGCAATCAAAACATTGTGGTCCTGCGCGGGAATTTGACCACAAAACTGTGGAACAAGTCGGAACTCCGAGCATAGTCGAGGAATTTGCCGCATACTACAGATCATACATGATTGCACAACTGCATAATGCATATTATTATATTATCATATATAGAAGGCGCTTCCCTCACACAGTATGTTTACGAACATGTGCTTGTTTAGAAGTGAAGTTGACGGCCAAAAGTCAATGGAGCACATGTACGGAATGAAGATTCAAAAAGTAGGTTTTTATTGAAAAATGTACGCTTGGCAAATCGGCAAATTGTAATCAATTTTCCAACTACCAAGGCACACTTTCTTGTGGTGACCTTTGCCCAACATCTTCACACGCAAGACAAGGTCTGTGTCTTGAGCACCCATGGGAAATGCATCCTCCCAGTCGATCGCGTCACAGCAGCAAGTAAATCTGGATGCACAACTCTGTGAAACTGTGGAAAGCATTTGGTCGTAAGATTTTGGCCCCACGTATCGATGGTAAACAAGTCATCGAGAAGCTCACATCTGCAACAGCTTGACAAAACCATTTGCAACACTCAAACCCTGGGTCCTCATCGTAGCCACCAATCTCAATGAATACCTGAAGCAAATCTGTTGATGCACTCTCACACTCAGGCAATTCCGAAGCCAGGCTCCCGGTCTAGAAACCAGGAGGCAATCAATGCACCAAGCTTAAAGGGTCACATAACAAAAACAAAACCGACATGTAAGTCGTAAGTAAAACATTGTATAAAACATTGTAAAACTATGTGGATAAATCATGATAAATCGGTCACATCATACCCGACCACATGCCAGCCAGCCACCTCTCTTCTCAGAGCAATTCGACCGCAGGTGCCACCACCCAATTCGTACTGCGCCACTGCACAGCCTGACAGTAGCAGCACCATGGTGGGGGAGCATGCCTAATTGTGGCATCACTTGTGGTTTTGACACCTGCACCTGCACATCTTTATTTGAGCCGGGTGAAGTTACTGGGTGACCCTCCCTCTGCGACACCTATCGCAGCATTTTTTTGAGCGATGGGCCCCCAAGAGCCACCCAGAATGCACATTCGTGTGCTGTCACATCACGACACTGAACATCACAACTTGGCAACTGAGTCCAATCACACACCGGAAACACACCCTGCCCCTACAGCCCCACACACTTCCAACCATACCCAGCTATTCAAGATGTGCATCAAATCGTCCGAGGATCCATCTTGAAAACGTTTGCAAACGTCCTCGAGAAATCCTGTTAGTAGCGGTCAGTCAATGGATCTGACCACCAATTTCAAAGCCAGGCGCTCTCAACTTTGGAGCCATTTGCAGAATTGCTGAATTGCAGGAAATGTGTCTAATATTGTCTAATATTATCTAATAATCTAATGACTCATGACCATCAACATGGATTTCCAACATTGAACTTGGTGACAAGATGAATAGAGACCGCCATCACAACAGCATCCAATCCTGCACCGATGAGGTTATCCCCATCAACGTTCACGAGGATGTCCTCTTTTGCCTCCAAGGCCGCTGCGTTTTGATAGGCAAAAACAATGTTCACACACAGGTTCCCTTACCAAACTTGAAACTTACAGAACTATTCAAACCTCATACCATCGCCCTCAGGAAGTCTTTTTTTGGCACTGAAAAAGCCTTCAGGATGTCAGTTGCAACAAGACTAAACACTGGGCTAGTTCACTAAGTTGATAGCTGCACACAACATATCCATTTCACAAGTTTGATTTCCAAGTCTTGGAATTATCTTTCAACGCCGTTTCCCTGCCACTTCATGGAAGCCCCTTGGGGGAGAATCGAGCACATCGTTCGCAGTGCCTGGATGTGAGCAGTGTTTTTCCCAATGCAGGCATGCCAAGCTTTTTCTTCTGCTCGGTAGACACGAAGCAAACCAATTTCAATGGCCCATCCTCAAAGGTCCCCGCGGTGCGTTGGTGCTCCCCCAAAGCTGCAGCATCAAGATGTATTTTCACTTATGCTCCCTTTACACAGTCAGATTCTCACATGAAATCTCATTATCAGCTTGTTCAATCTGCTTTGCAGCTCACATGCAGCTCACATGCAGTCACTCTGCAGCCTGTATAACAACCCATGAGCTCCCTTGGACCAGGACTTGCAGCCCAGCTGCTACAGTATCGCAGTAGCCATTCCAGCGTCCCATCGGTGCTTCCCATGTCCACCACGTGGACGCGGCAACTGACGCGGGGCGGCGGCAAGATGTTGGTCATATCACTGCTGGTGCGATCATGTCTATCATAGTACTATCTGATATCAATGTTGGCGGACATATTCAATTACCTTTCCACGTCGCCGAAACCGGGTAAAACAGAAGGCATCACTTCTGTCATTGCCTGCATGCTGTGGGGTTCTATTGAGTCTCCGGCAGTTTGCTAGTGTCAAAATGGTACTTGTCGGATCAAAATAATCAACAGTCATTAAATGACTTCAAATACCTGAATATGGATGTACCATAAGATACATTGCCTTACATGCAAGTCCCACAGTGTGCCCAGACGCCAATCCTGTTGGGATGCTATTTCTGCAACAGCGGAGTTGTTACATACCACAATGCACTGCAGACCCAAAGAATGAAACATGTATTCCGAGCATTCCTACTCACCAAAAATAGACAACTCAATAAAAACACCTCAACCGGTCACACCACCAACCAATCTCGCCTGTCTTTGAATGGATATGCGTGGACAAGCGTCAGAGGGAGAGCATTCTTGAGCTGCCACAAACGATTCCTTTGCACACTGACTGGGGGCTGCTGTCTCAGCTGCTGTGTCAAAAGACCGGACTATCATATGAACATTGTCAGCATGACGAATGGCAATGACCCAACGTATTTCATAATTAGCAATAATTAGCAAACACGTTCACAGGAAATCTGGCTGCAAAGCATGTCAATTCGGAAGCAGCTACAACCGGAAGTGTCCTTTGTCAAATGATGTCCTTCCCACCCTTTTACTCCAACTCGATGTCAAACATAAGAAACTTTATTTGAATTCGCCTGCCAAAGAACCCTTTGAAATCGGGTTGACATCCCCAAGACTTTCCTGCCGCTCCAGCAGCATTCCAGAGATAACTAAAGGAAAAAAATCAGAGTTTATCAGCTGAAGCACCTGCAAAAAAACAAACACGGGCCAAGACAGCCAAGACTCATGGTTGCAGTGCACAAGGCCACTGTAAATGGCCTTTGCTCTCAGATTGGCCATGCACCCTGGACACAATAGACTAGGCCGGGTATATACAAAACTGATGAACAGTAGATTGGATACATAAACATGCGACGGCGCAAATGAGACCTGCCAGGGTTCGAACCCTTCTTTTAGGAAAGAAAAATAACCAATAGCTGGGCTATCCTCTGCGGAATTCAGGATTTTTGGTTGCGCGGGTGGTGTTTTTTGATGTTTTTTGTCTATTTTTGTGCAGTGGTGATTGGTAGAGAGTCACTGCGCCACTTTGCGAGCTCTTGCCGTCTGGAGCACAGTATCAAACCATTGCAACTCATCCTATCACTGACTTATCACTTCTATCTTATTTGATTCTTCATCCGCCATGGAAAACCCAGTTTCTGGCGCCTATGGCCATTTGTGCCAAGAAGCAAGTTGGGCTTACGGCCATTTTCCACAATCATTTTCCAGCCGTCCTGCAAGACCCGATAATATAGGACTGAAGGAGATCCAAAGCCAGATTAGATTTCTGTGCTTCTGCATACAAAGCAGGATCTTGAACAACTTTCCCAGGCCTACTGGGGTTGAACCTTGAAAACATGGTCACTGCTGACCATGGTCACTGCTGACCCCTCCTCTATCTGTGGCACCAGGTTGTGCTCATAGCAGGACTTTACTGCCTGACTCAGGAGTTGCGCAAACGATTGAATTATTGGTAGTAGATGTAGTAGAACTTGCAAGCAACTCCTTGGTATGCCTGACTAAATTTCCAACGTCCATTGGTCCTTGGATTCAATCAAGCTCTAGAGCTTACTTCTCTTAAAGCTCTCCTTTATTCAATGCTCTGGATTGGGTTGATATGGCGTACGTAGAGAATTGGAGTGCTCGGAGGATGATCTAAATCTAAATCACCCTAGAGGGCAAGGACCAGAAGAAACATGCTTAGACATGAAGTCATTTGCAAGAGGCTTAAGGAACTTTGATCCAAGATGTGAGTTTTCAGGTCTAATTGTGAACCATACCATTGTGGAGATGGGACACCATCAGCCACTGCCTGGCGCAAGATCTCTTGGAAGTCGGCGTCCCAGGCATCCTGCAAGGGACATCTAGAGGGAAGGCAGCGGGAGATGGGGCAAATGTTGTCCAATTCTGGGCAATTCCATCCATCAAAAAGATGGGGATTCCATGCTGTCTCCAGGAGCGGCATCTTATTTTTCAGTCTTTCAGCACTCCATTTCCCCTGTGCCAATCAAAGTTGCCCTGGATAAGATTGTAAATGCTTCTGAGCTATCACAGTCACGGCCAGCCAAGAAGCACCCGAGCTGCAATAAGCAGACGGCCCGACAGGCACCATGCTGTTCTTGAGTGTTCATAGTGTTCATGTTGTCAAAACCTATGGGCCTGTGGAAGACATAGAGATTTACGTGAAGAAATACGCTTCAATGGTTTTCAGACACGACCGAATTAAAGGTCCTCCAATTGCGAGTCTGACCACCAAAGCACACGGCCTTCTTCACTCTGGCGACTCAGGACCTGGGGTCCGCGTGCGTTGAATGACACAAGCAACAATACTTTGACGTCTTGAGCGTCTACAGTATCACATGAAGGAAGTGCCCAGAGATACGAAAGAAAGCAAACTGTTAAACAATGGCAACAATTGCAAAACTGCCTGCAGTCATCTGCAGTCAGAACTGCAATGGCAACTAATTAGTATGGCATATCTAGATAAACCATAGAAGCATGATTTGACGCTAAATGAAAATGCACTGCATATCGAAAACCAGTAACAGACCCGAACAGAAAGAAAGAACAAGTAAGGTGACAACAACAAAACGGAGCTGAAAGAGCTATATAGACAAGCCCAAAGAGCATGCAAGATGCTCAGGATGCTCCACTTTCAAAAATACATGTAAAAGCCCCTATCGGCCTATCGGCCACAGCCAGTCATACCAAGGGGCCCAGTGATAGGTCACAGTATCAATCTTCAGATGAAGATATACAAAGGGCTGTCGAATCTTTCCCCTTGATGATCTCCTCAGGCCTCATGACAACTGCAGCCACAACTCTGACGTCACAACCGCAACAAGGACACAACGCTGAAGAGCGTTCGGAACATTCTCATGGAAAACTACCGGGAAACTTCTCCGCAAATCTCACCACTAAGGTTTTTTTTCCCAGCCGCATATTCAGCATAGAGGACCGACAAACTGTGAGTCTTGGATCTACTTGACTCCGCTTACCCTCAGTTTTCTTTACACCTCGAATCAAATTTTGATAAGCGTTACCTCATGATCTGCTTTAAGTTAGAGCAGTTCGAATTGCTGTTCCGTGCCTGCAAGCTGGATGGAGCCAAGGAAGTTGCCTGAATAGCCAAAGACCTTGTCGGATTGGAGCACTTCCCACCAACAGGTTGTGGAGTCCCCGAGGCGTTGAAAAGAGGAGAGGGACTGGGAGGGATGGCAAGGTGTGCTTGTGTCTATGTATGTCTGAAGACTCTGTGCTCTGGAAAAGGATCCAGGCTCATACAAGTCATTCAGTGATATTATATTAGAGCACAGACATGGATTCATCCACATAGCTCTACTGCTGCAAGAAACAAGTCATGAAAGAGTTGAAGTCAATAGCTCCCTGTTCGTACCGATTACCCAGAACTGCCCGTGCCTGAACAACATGCTCAGTTGTGGTACGTGTCTTCAAGCCCCCAAGTCTGACCAGAGAGCTCGGCCAAATGAGGATGAAAAGAGGGCCGAAATTGTAAAGGTGCACTTCTCAAAAAGAGCATGAAATTGATTTATGACTTTTATGACTATGATTTCCGGATGAACGATAAAAAGAAATCGATGATGCTGCTGATGTCAACTACGGCAAGGATGGACTCTTAAAAAATATTGAAGATACCATATACTCAGTCTGGGAACAGCATGCTTCTACATGATTCCTGTCGCCACTGCTTGTTCATATTATTCATGATTAACCTCCCATTTCCGGAAGTGAGGTTCACTTCAAACACGCATGAGCACGTGAAATCCCAGACCAATCCATGAAAAACCTGTTCTTGTGCGGCTTGTATTGAGAGACGCGCTTTTCCGTCTTCTCCCAACCCTCAAGGATACAAATGATGTTTCAAGATATTTCAATCCATTCCTTTTCCATCCTGTTCCAACCTTGCGGCCCTCGCCTTCCACTGATCCACTTTTTGTTGTTGAAGGGCTTTAAGGCGGCATTCTTGATGGCTGTGACCACCAATGGGTCGATAGGCGCTTCGCTAGGGCTAGGCATGCCATCCAGCAGCGGGCAATTCCATTGATTGATCGATGGTTAGATACATAGTCTAGTTCTGTCTTTCTCATATGTCAGCATGTTTGCAGTGAAATTGCTTATCCATCAAGCAAGTCCATGGATCTATCGAGATGAAATTTCCAAGTCCGTGCTTGCGATTCTCTGTCTACCCATTTCTATGTCAAACTTACCTCAATGCTGATGCTGACCTTGAAAGTTGCTGCTGGCATTCATGATCTGGACTGGAGCTAAGTGGCGCTCACGCGGTGTCCTTCCCATTTGACCCCGTTTGGGCCTTAAGCTGCAATGGCCCAACGCAAAATGGAGAACTGTTCAACTTGTTCAACCATATGGTGAACCCAAGTCTGCAAACCCCAAATTCTCTGGGATCGTGCAACAAAAACACAAGCAAAAACTGGGAGTCTCAAGTCTCCAATACAGCCTTGGACTGTCATTCGTCACCTTACCTGTGACACATTAGAATACCGCCCCAGTTGAGTTTGCAACTCGTTCGATCCTGATTAAATACTTGCAAGTTCTCCATATGTGATGATTTCAGATAGATATAGCACAAAAACACCACCCCCGTGACATGCAAACTGAAAGTGTACCTTGATGTCGGGTTTTCTCGTACTTCTTCCTGAGTTTCTCTGCCACTTCTTCTGTCTGCCTTCGCGCATGCTCCAACCACTCCTGAGCAGCGAATGAGGAACACAGCATCGGAGGTCTGTTTGCGAATGGTTCTGTGTTTCTGTCCTGGCTCCCTTGGTAAAGGACCTCCAGTTGGGAGGCACATGGTCATTGCAATGGAACTCAAGTCTCAATCCATCTCAATGCGTCTTAATCCTTCAATCCAAGCATCTCCAAAGTATGGATTTCCATGTGTCTTGGCGTGCCGCTGCCACTCTTCTGTCATGCGTTGCCTAAACTCCTCCACCTGTCGAGCGAGAAATGGGAAGGAGCTGCTCCCGGACTTGCCGCCATCAAAATGACATCTCACGCCCAAATGGCATCTTACACCCACGCTGCTACTAAAGCTGTGCTTGGATGAATCAACACAATGCAAACATATTTGTCCAGAATCAATTTTTGACCGGAGAAACTATTTGCATGATTGTTTACGTTCATGAGAACAACCAACCCAACAATGGTTCCATGAACCACTAGCCACACTGGACGGAAATACACATCTGCTTCAAACCAGCCACCATTCCGATTGCCTGATTGAGCCACGACGGCTGCTGAGAATTGCGCATCTCTTCTTCTCCTGGGTGGAACCACAAAGCCAAAGAGAGATAGTGGGCCATAGCAGATGCCTCGCTAAAATCTGAAAGAACGTAGCAGAAACAAGAAACAACATTAAAGAACATCAAATAACTGAACATATTTTGTACCCGCTCACCACAGGACACACGTTTGCACTGGTTCTTCACAGGTCTTGAGCTTCAAGTGACTGGCCCCCTGTGTCCGACACGTCATGCCAGATCATATGCAGATCATGAGAGCTAAATGGAACTAAGTGGAGCTGAGTGAAGCCGAGCATCGGTGAAGTCTCTGCTTCAAACGTTCGGCGGTCTCTGCTGCCTTCTGTGAGGATTTCTTCCAGGATTCCACCTCCTCTCGCAGGCGCTGGGTACTTCCTTCCTTGGGACAGTTCATGCTCTCGAAACTCAAAATGGAGATGAATCAAATGAGCAAACCGAACCAATACACTATATATGTAAATGTATTGTCAAAGGAAGTTTAGATGTCTTTAAATTCTGTTATACGGAAAAATCTGGTGAAGAGGAAAAATGAGGAGCGTAGGGATGTGATGAAAACAAGATGAAGCCCACGAACCCGAATGCTCACACGTATGTTAATGGCACAGATGTCAAAACACATGGTTATAGAGTCACGCGCAATACCTTTCTGCAATAGTTTATATTTGAACAGTCTTGTACATGTTTCCCTTGTTACCAGTCTGCAGTGTGGGGTGGAAAGTGTAGAGTGTGGAGTGTGAAGTAAGGAGTGTGGAGTGTAAAGTGTGGAGTGGGGAGTGTAGAGTGTGTAAAGTGTAGAATGCGGAGTATAAGGTGTAGAGTGTGGAGTATGGAGTGTAAAGTGTAGAGTGTGGAGGAGTGTGGAGTGTAAAGTGTGGAGTGAGGAGTGTAAAGTGGAAAGCGTGGAGTGTAAAGTGTAAAGTGTGGAGTGTAGAGTGTATAGTGTAGAGTGTAGAGTGTGGAGTGTGGAGTGTAAAGTGTGGAGTGTAAAGTGTGGAGTGAGGAGTGTAAAGTGTGGAGTGTGGAGTGTAAAAGTGTGGAGTGTGGAGTGGAAAGTGTGGAGTGGAGTGTAAAAGTGTGGAGTGTAAAGTGTGGAGTGGAGTGAGGAGTGTAAAGTGTGGAGTGTGGAGTGTAAAGTGTGGAGTGAGGAGTGTAAGTGTGGAGTGTGGAGCGAGGAGTGTAAAGTGTGGAGGAGTGTAAAGTGTGGAGTGTGGAGTGAGGAGTGTAAAGTGTGGAGTGTGGAGTGTAAAGCAGTAAAGTGTGGAGTGGAGTGGAGTGCGGAGTGTGGAATGGAAAGTGTAGAGTGTGGAGTGTGGTGTGTAAAGTGGGGAGTGTGAGTGTAGAGTGTGGAGTGAGGAGTGTAAAGTGTAAAGTGTGGAGTGTGGAGTGTAAAGTCTGGAGTGCGAAATGTGGAGTGGAAAGTGTAGAGTGTGGTGTGTAGAGCGTGGAGTGTAAAATGTGTGGAGTGTAGAGTGTAAAGTGTAGAGTGTGGAGTGTGGAGTGGAAAGTGTGGAGTGTGAAGTGTGGAGTGTAAAGTAAGGAGTGTGTGGTGTAAAGTGTGGAGTGTGGAGTGTAAAGTGTAGAGTGTGGAGTGTGGACTGTAAAGTGTAGAGTGAGGAGTGAGGAGTGGAAAGTGTAGAGTGTGATGTAAAGTGTGGAGTGTGGAGTGTAAAGTCTCAGGTGAGGAGTGAGGAGTGTAAAGTGTGGAGTGTGTAGTGTAAAGTGTGGAGTGTGGAGTGTAAAGTGTGGAGTGGAAAGTGTGGAAAGTGTGGAGTGAGTGGAGGAGTGTAAAGTGTGGAGTGTGGAGTGTAAAGTGTGGAGTGTGGAGTGTGGAGTGGAAAGTGTGGAGTGTGAAGTGTGGAGTGTAAACTGTGGAGTGTGGAGTGAGGAGTGTAAAGTGTGGAGCGAGGAGTGTAAAGTGTGGAGTGAGGAGTGTAAAGTGTGGAGTGTGGAGCGAGGAGTGTAAAGTGTGGAGTGTGGAGTGTAAAGTGTGGAGTGTGGAGTGAGGAGTGTAAAGTGTGGAGTGGAAAGTGTGGAGTGTGAAGTGTAAAGTGTGGAGTGTGGAGCGTAAAGTGTAGAGTGTGGAGTCTGGAGTGGAAAGTGTAGAGTGTGGTGTGTAGAGTGTGGAGTGTGGAGTGTAAAGTGAGGAGTGCAAAGTGTGGAGTGTGGAGTGAGGAGTGTAAAGTATAAAGTGTGGAGTGTGGAGTGTACAGTAAAGTGTGGAGTGTGGAGTGCGGAGTGTATGGAAAGTGTAGAGTGTGGAGTGTGGAGTGTAAAGTGGAAAGTGTAGAGTGTAGTGTAAAGTGTGGAGTGTGGAGTGTGTAAAGTGTGGAGTGCGAGTGTAGTGTAGAGTGTGGTGTGTAGAGTGGAGTGTGGAGTGTAAAGTGTAGTGGAGTGTAAAGTGTAGAGTGTAGAGTGTAAAGTGTAGAGTGTAAAGTGTGGAGTGTGGAGTGTAAAGTGTGGAGTGAGTGTAAAGTGTGGAGTGAGGAGTGTAAAGTGTGGAGTGTGGAGTGTAAAGTGTGGAGTGTGGAGTGGAAAGTGTGGAGTGCGAAGTGTGGAGTGTAAAGTAAGGGGTGTGCAGTGTAAAGTGTGGAGTGTGGAGTGTAAAGTGTAGTGTGGGGAGTGTGGAGTGTAAAGTGTAGAGTGAGGAGTGAGGAGTGGAAAGTGTAGAGTGCATTGTAAAGTGTGGAGTGTGGAGTGTAAAGTCTCAGGTGAGGAGTGAGGAGTGTAAAGTGCAAAGTGTAAAGCGTGGAGTGTAAAGTGTAGAGTGTGGAGTCTAAAGTGTAAATTGTGGAGTGTGGAGTGTAAAGTGTAGAGTGTGGAGTGCGGAGCTTCCCCCATAGACACGGCGACGCCACAGGAAAACCAGCGACTCGAGACAAGACACGTGGATGCAGAAAAACGAGCATTTCGTGCGAGACTTCCTCCAATTTTGACATTTTCGACACGTTATCAGACAGGTTGGAATGTCACAAAGTGCCACGCCTGCCACGCAAAACGACATGACAACCTGCGTGGAAACATTCGAAAAGGTCAGGTTTGCGGCTTCCCCCATAGACACGGCGACGCCACAGGAAAATCAGCGACTCGCGACAAGACACGTGGATGCAGAAAAAACAGCATTTCGCACGAGACTTCCTCCAATTTTCATAGTTAGCAACATGACAAAAGGACAAGTTTTGCAGCTTCCACCATAGACACGGCGAGGCCACGGGAAAACCAGACACGCGAGACGAGACAGGTGGGAGCACCAAAACGAGCATTTCGTGCGAGACTTCCTCCAATTTTCACACTTTGTAGCTTCAAAATCGACGTTTTCCTACGAGTTTTCCTTAGAATCCGAAAATTGGCAACATCAAAATCGATGTTTCGTGCGAGGCTTCCGTCAATTTTCAGCACATCGCACAAAATGCCACGCCTGCCACGGAATTTGCACCTTGTCGCCACTTGACGCAGCCCTGCCAATGCGATTTGCAAAAAACACGCAACACGACACGTCTAAAGTGCTGCGCCTGCCACGAAAAATGACGATGGACACGTTCAAAGTGCTGCGCCTGCCACGAAAACTGCAACACATCTTCTGAAAACGTCGCAAAAGTATTGCGCCTGCCACGCAAAACGAATTTCGACGCGTTCCAGAACACGTCTGAATGTCACCAAGTGCCACGCCTGCCACGCGAAACGAAGCAACCCGACGTCTGAAACCTCCAAAAATGATCCCTCTTGCAGAACTTCCCATAGGCACGGCCATACGGGGATCACGCGAACGGTTGCGGACGGTTGCGAACGGTTGCGAACGGTTGCGACCGTGAACGCAACGTCGAGCGAACACACCCTCAACCCCCAGACCCCCAGAGTGAAACGGGAACCCTTGCTACGCATTCGGGAAAAAGAATAGGGATGTGATGAAAAAGAGAATAGGGATGTGAAGAGAGCAGGGATGCGAAGATAGTAGGGATGTGAAAGGAGTAGGGATGTGAGGAGAGTGGGAGTGGAAATGTGAAGAAAGTAGGGACGTGAAGGGATGTGAGGAGAGTAGAGATGTGAAGGGATCTGAAGAGAGTAGAGATGTGAAGAGAGTAGAGATGTGACATGTATAGAGATATGAATAGAGTAGGGATGTGAAAAGAGTGGAGATGTGAAGAGAGTAGAGATGTGAAGACGGGCAGCGATTGCAGCTGGCAGTCGCATTTCTGCGTCACGGATGGCTGGAGGTTGTGATTTGCAAGGCGGTGCTTGCAGATCGCAGTGATTTTTTTTCGTCAAGGTGATGCTTGGAGGGTAGGAATCAAATGAAACCCTATGTTTTCTCGCATTAAACGGGTTTCTGTGTCGATGTAGTGAACCTTGTCTGCGCGACGGGTGCGGCTTGCGTCCGGTCGCATCCTTCAGGCGTGCAGATCCCATTGGAACAGCTGCATCCATGTTGCTGCTTGCTGTGCTGCTCGCAAGGCAGTGATTTTAGATTGCATTGGAATTGCTTCGTCGAGGTCACGCTTGCAGGTAGGAATCAAACAAAACCCTGCGTTTTCTCGAATAAAGTGACTCCCCGCGTCGAGGAAGTACTTTGTGAAAGCTTTGTAGACTGAACTAGTGCTGGGAAGTACTTTGTACAAGCTTTGTAGTACGAAGTAGTAGTGGGAAGTACTTTGTG